CAATGTATTCATGCAAGGCTGCATGCGATTTGCTGCATATATATATAGATATAATCCCCGGCCCCTGCACAAAGAGCGAATGCAATGAATCCACACGTCTAGTGTCAATGATGAACCACAGCTTCAAATTCATTTGGGCCAGGTTGCAAATTGCCTCCATTTTGAGGAAACATCAATAACCTTCGAATCGAACGTTCTTAACCCGAGACCCCCCCCCACCTCCATCCCCAAGCATCCACCGTTTGTATTATGAAAACTGTAGTTGTCAAACAATCTTGCGCCAACAACCCTGGAGTCGGATTTGGCTTTTGCCAGTTGTTTCATTTGGCTACAAGGTTCTTCTTTGAGCCTCCACACAAATAGGTGCCCATGGCCAATTTCACCCTGAAAGTCATTGGTCAAAAGACTTTGCTGTGATGATGCGCTTCCAAGTATCTCTTGGCTTTTCAGGTTTTCTTGTGGGCTTCTGTCCCTTCGACAAGGCCTGGGTGTGGTTTGTAATCCAAGTCCTTCCGATGTGTCCAGCGCGCCAGTCTGTGGTTGGTGGAAAACGCACCATCGACCCATGCGACAAGATCCACTCGGAGGTCTCGGAGAACTAAAGACGTGAGCTGTGAGAGAGAAAGAGAGAGAGAGAGAGAGAGGGGGAGTGAGCTTGGGTCATTTGTCGAGTTGTCCAGGTGATTCGAGAAAAATTTGATGCTCACAAAGATGGCCAAGAGGGCAGTGAGCTTCGGAACAAGTATGAGGACGGGGGCATAAACGGGGGCACTTGGAGCACTTCTAGAAGCCCAAGTGGAGCCCTTAGAGCCGCTTAGGATGGCTTAAGCCGCTTAGGCTCTATTTCAGCCCACCGAAGCGTTTTCCACTTTTTCCAAGTTGCAGGAGTACTCGATACGAGATCTGGAATTTGCCATCCAGGAGGCTGAGGCCGAACGCACTTCAGATCCTGAGCTGGGATGACAGGAGAGTTCTGAGGGATGACTAAGAATGATAGATAGAAAGTCTTTTTCTTGTAAAAGCTAGTTGTATTTCTTCATGATTCTTCATAGTGTTTGATTGAATATGCACAGGCCTACGGTCGAAGAGAGGTCGAACGGCTGAGGAAGGAACCGAGGCCGAGAGAGTCGGGGCCAACCCCTTTTGATGTGTCGATATGGCCAAGCTTTTTGGTTTCTTTGAATTCTCAGCTCACGAGGGATCAACCTCAAGAACAAGGTCCGCTCTTGCTAAGGTCTGGCTTCAATAGCCAACGGCCCTCAAATCGGAATCGCAATCCAGTGCTTCCTTAGTCCAGGCATCTGTACACGGAAGCACTTTCTGACTTGGCAGGAACAGGCGGGTGGTGTACAGCATCCTCAAAAGACCACTCAAAATAGCAATACTGTTTGGTTATAGCCCATCCTGCAGGGTACTCTACAGAAAGCCATGAGAACTGCAGCAGAGGCTTTGACTCTGCAGTGGCAGCAAATGCCACCTATCTTCACCATAATTGATGATGGCTTCCGCTGTGCAAGGGCCAAAGCGCTGTCAGCAGAAATCAATGCGAGACTCGGCAGAATTCACTGCACAGTGACATCTTCCTGACGTGTGACCCCACCTCTTGAGACTGTTCTACTAGCTTCTTGTTACTACTAGTACTGTTACTACTGGCTTCTTGTTACTACTAGTAAGGCACTTGTTACTAGTCGTGTGACCCCGCCTCTTGAGACTGTTCCGAGGAAGATCTCACAGATGAAGCGTGAAAGCCTCCACCTGGAGAAGAAGCGGGGCCAAGATGCAGTCTACCATTCAGTAGAGTGCTAAAGGAGAATAGCCAAGCTACTTCCCAGTCTGGTGTGTGCTTCAGCCTGAAAGTATTCTGGAAAATATATATAGGCTGTCCAAATGCACTTGGCCCATTTGGCATTTCACTTCAAGTCATGCTGCAGACAAGAACATGGAGACCATGGATTGTAGGTGCAAACTTGTGGCTAAGGGAAGCAGTGAACTAGCTCGACACTTAGTTTTCGTTCTGTTGGCATCATTTTGGCCAGGGCCAAAGCTCTAGAGGATTGCGATGCTCGAAAGCAGGTGGGCCTTGAGTTGATACAAAGGGGAAAGCACAGCAAAGCGTTAAAGCGTTCTCAGGAGGAGATGATGAAGCAATCCAGGGATTTGGAAGATGAGGCCAAGAAGTTTGAGAAGGACAGCAGTCACAGTCACATTGCGGATTTTGCTGCAGATTTACGCGCAGCACCAAATATTTGGGTGGGAAAGGGACATCGTGTGACTTTACCTGATTATCTCTGTCACTCGGGAGCGGGTCGAGTGTCTTGAAAAGGAATGAGTCTCCTAAAGCGGCATGAGCTCCAACAAGGGAGTCTTGAGTAATGAGTGCAAGGCAGCAAGGGCATGGGTTTTGCACCGCAATTCCCTCACTATTATATCACATATACTGTATATGTTTTGTTCTTGATTCTCACCGCACTGTGTGGTTGGCACGGTTGAGTTTTGTTTGTTTTCTCACACTGCATAGAGACCAGAGACAAGCTGCAATGATCTGCATGCTGACATAATCTTTGTAATAGAAGGATCTTCCTCCGTACTAATTGACCCTGAGGTAAGGCCCCCTTGAGGTTGAACGTTGCACAGGAGGAGGAAGAAAAAGTGAAGGCAAACTTCCGGCCGCTTGCATGTGAGGCGCCCTGAATGTGCTTCCACCGAAGAGTGGGCACGGTGGCTAGAGCAGTATTCTTATTGCTGTAGCCTCACGCCTTATCAACCACTTGTGTTGTTGCTGCTGCTCTTGGCCAAAGTACAGGTGTGCGGAACAGCTTATGTCAGCCGATTTCTCAGTTGTGAAAGCCCAGTGCACATTTGCTAGTGACCATTTGACATCTGAAGGCAGAATGTTCCCTGTTTTGAGTTTGAGGCAATTGTGAAGGAGAGTATGAAGCTCACCTCAAGTACAAGGTGCCTTTGTGGCCCAGAGCAAGCCTTGGGAACACTGTTTTGGAAAGGTACACGAAAGCTACACGGAGATTCACGCTAGACTCAAGGTGCTGAAGGAGAAGAAGGCTTGCCGCTTGTAGATTTTTAATTGGTTGGATATGGATTGGATTGAAGCTTTGCGGATGCGGATCCCCACATGATCCTGCTTGGACAATAGGCTGAGCGGGATCGCATCGCCAGGGAGAAGAAGGCTTGCTGCCCTTGCATTCAGCCAATTCAGCTGTTGACCGCTAGAGATGCAACACTTTATGGCAGGAGGAAGAGCGCAAGAAGAAGATGGAAAATGAGGTGAAGAAGGCATAGCCGGCATAGCTCCTAAGTGTGAGAACCCAACCAAGATTAATTAAGACATAGCATCATAGCTACTTGTTACTAGCAGCAATGCCAGGAGCTACTAGTAGCGTCCTTGGTCCTTGCTCCTAGTAGTAATGCCCCCTTGTTACCAGTTGCGATGCCCTTTGTTACTAGTAGCTTCTTGTTCCTAGGCATTGCTCC